ACTACATCAGCCATAATTTTTAATTAGGTAAGTCAAAGAATGCCTAACAATATTGATAATGGATCAAACAATTTTTTTGACATATCTTATTAACATTATTAAAATATTGGTATTTATTTAAAAAAAAAATTATAATTTCTTAATAGGGGCATCAACTGACCCTCTTCCCCTAATTTTGTTACTACTAATAGATTACTATGGAAATCTTAATGTCACCCTCACGTGGGTATTAAATCAAGTATTTTATCAAAATCTGAAAATTTAAAAATGACAAATGAATCTAACGATCAAAATGATTAACACAGGGTAAAAATGATTAACGATTAAGCGAGTTTGCATAGCACTGAAAGTGACTGATCTATAAATAAATGTAACATGGCAATCAAAGTGTTAAATGGAGAAGGTAGAAGCGACGACAGATCGTTTCCCTGCGATGAACGATTCGATCAAGGGGGATCCACCTTACGGGGACTTATTGACGAAGCAGGCCACCTCCATGACTAGACGAGCATGCGGGAAAATGACTTAATACGAGCATACGAGGGAGTTGCACGAGATGGCCCGTGGCGATCCATCGGACCACCCAGCAGGTGATTGCCGTGCACAAGGATCTATCTACAAGCTCTGTTGCTTTCTACGTGCTTAATAGTGCTCTGACTTCTCGTGCCGCATTCCTAGATCCTGTCCACCATAGCAAACGGAAAACTCCCCATGGATCTTGAGCCCCGAGGTCTTCAAACTTGTCTGTCGTTCTCGTCTCGGATGTGTTGGATCATCATTTTCTTTAACCACGTCCATCTTACGTTTACACTTCACTTGCTACACGCTTAGTATTTTGTTACTTTCAGGCCTGTCCTATCTCGAGAATTTATTACAAGTCATCCATGAAAATTCTCAGATATTTCTCAATACACAGCTTCACAAAATTCATACCACTTTAATTACACAGGGTGTTCAGACAGGTCAGGATTCGATTTTAGAATGAAAACTTTTATAAGAATTGTCTAGTGAATATTGCAGATCAAAAAAAAATTCTAATTTGTTGGATTGTGTTATTAGAAGGAGGTCATATGTCGCCCTTTTCTAATAGTGTAAAAACTATTTATAATAGTGTATATAAGATTAATTTTTAAAAATGAAGAAGAAGGTGGTATAACAATTAATATTGTCGGTGATAAGCAAAAAAGCGTGCTATCAGGGCGCTGTTTCTTAGATGTTGAAGATGTCTGATCATGTTGGGCCAGTGTTACGGTACCTCGAGAGTGTGGTTTTGTTGGAAGGAGAAGAAGAAAATAAAAAACAGGAGATCCTCGTCTAGGGAGTTTTCTATCGGCTACAGGGAGAAATTAATCCAGCAAAAAGAGCGTTGGCCGATGAAGCGTTACGAAAAGAAAAATGACCGCAGAGCGTTGCGGTAGGCTGGCCAAGATCGGTGTCAGCTGATGAGAAGCCGAGGAACGACCTTGGTATCGGATTTCTCGTCTACATCGAATTGAAATTTACATTTCATTCGCGCCGGTCATCGTACGTCTTCAACGTACACCAGATCTGTCCACGATGGAATTTACATTTCATTTCAGATCGAAAGATGTTCGCTTATCTGACGTCTCCATCTAATTACAATGTAATATCGTCATCAATAGTGTGGTAGATATGTTCACCAGGAGATGAAGGAAATGTTAACAGAAGATTCTAACTTCCGATAAATGATCGGTAAATATACGGTTGTCAATTGTGCGGATAGTGTCTTTCTTTTTATTAAACATTTCCCTGAGTGTCTGGACATGATTTTACTTTTATTATTAACAACATCATGATTACTTTTGAATATGGGAAACATATATTGCAGTATGTTATTAATAGCAAATAAATCTTCTGTTTCGTTCATGGGTTAAAATTGACCCTGTGTTGGCTAGACCAGGATTAATTAATTTGACTCCAGGTCCACGACTATTAATCAAGTATGACTGTAGTCAATATATTTGGCAAAATTTATGTGCTTTAGAACGGTGCATAATAATATCTGATTAGTGGTCATGATTAGGTCCGAAACCTGTGACCATTAACCGGACGCTACTGTGTCTAAGGTACACTGCCTATACCTGGCACCTGCAATTAAATCTATGGAATTTCCAACAAATATCATCAACTTTATTATTCATAACGGTTTCAGATAATCAAAGTTTATAGCGTTTCAATGTTTGTATTGTCACCATTCGTTGCCTACGATTTAAATAGGACGCCCCAGAAGTCAAACGTCTAATTTTGGAACGTTAATATGTATTTTGAAAGTAAAACTTCATATTTTCGACTCCTTTTTGAATAGTTAATTTGGTAATATTATATATTATAAAAAATTTCAATAATAATCACAATGATACATTCATTTACTTATCCCCTTTGTTTCAGTTTGTCAAATATTATGAATTTGAAATTATAAATTTTATAGCACGTTGGAATTTTTGCCAATTCTACATTAAAATTATTCATCGACTTTGATTTTTATAATTAGTTTATAAATTTCCTGAGTGGTGAATTTAAAAATATCATTATAATTGTTCCCTGTAATTTTCTTACTTTTCTCATTAATTTCGTGAGAATCATTAATTTAAACTCAAAAAAGAAAGGCTCATTAATTACAATTAATTGTTAATAATATAAGAACGTATAACCGTGGTAAGAAGAAAGTTCTACCGCTAGGTTTCAATTTACCCCCACCATAAGGGTTGGTAACCTACCGGAGGATTATTATTTCACGGAAATAGCGAAAGGTTGACCTGATTGGAGGACTATTTGCCGCATCCCCTGACCGCTGGTACAGACGGGTGGGGTACCTTCATTTGACCATTCGTTAATTGAACCGTGAAACTTACGCAGTTCCAATATTTCCTTAAAAGCGATCACTTCTGTGCTCCCTGTTTGTCCTAAATATAACTGTCCTCAGAGTCCTCTGAAGTCTTACTAAGTTACCCTGAAGACTTTGGGAAACAACGCAACATACTTCTGCAATGCGACCTACTCCTATTGGTTCAAAAAGGAGGAAGTCACGTGTTCCGTGTAGCGTAAGTGATTGATTGTTCATTATCTTGTTTTATTATTCAACTCTACATTTGATTACATATTTTCCGTTGGTATTTTGTTATATTTGTAGCTCAAATTGATTTGATTCGAGTATTCTATTACCTCAGTATACTTGCATCCTAATATTTACAAATAAATTAAAATTAAATTAAGTTTATTTGAACAAATGTTCATTAAGTTTATATATATATATTTTTTTTTCTAGATAGTTAAACCATTTGTGAGCAAGGAGAACACAGTTGGAGAAATGAAAGCTAGACTTTCGATACGTTTCTTGGTAAAGAAATCAAAACGATTGGATATACCGAAAAATAATTTGAAAAAAGTATTGAAGACAAATAATGAGGGAGAAAAATCTTCCATAGAATGCTTGATGTATTTGGGTCTTGTACCAAAAGAGATGGAAACTCAAGAACGAAATGTTTCTAAACAAGAAACTCAAACTAATTTTGAGTTTCCTAAACCAAGAATCTATGAGTGCTGTCATTGTTCGAAATTTTTCTTTCACGAATTTCTATTGCAAAAGCATGGCGTGCTTCGTCACATGAGGAGCAGCAAGAGACTGCTCTCAAAGGTTTGGAGGAAGAAACAGAAATTGATTTATCGTAACTCAAAATCGACTAGCGTGGGTCAAAGGTCACAGAATACGAAATCTTCAAGTTCGGATCTACGATCGAGGATATCTGTTGATCTTCCCTGTGACAACGAGTGGTTGTCGAAGGAAGAGATTGTGAAATTCTTTTCCGAGTCATGATTATCAGTAGTTACAAAATTATTAGAGACTGTTCGGTTGTGTAAAATTACTTGTAACTTCAAATGAATGCTTGTACTATTATATTTGGAAAGCTCATTCAAAATTAATGTTTCGCGTTGTTGAGAGATTCACTCACGAAATACTTGTAGTTTTTATTTTCTTCCTTGAATTTTTAATAAGTGTAGGAATTGATGTCTGTCATAGAGTATTTTCTTTTTAATTTATTTATAATAAAATTGTCATCTTTAGAAATTCTTTTTCCAAAACTTTGAAGCGCGTTATTTTATTGAAATTCTAATAGTATTGGTATTAAACAATTAAAAGCTGTAATTAGGATGTACCATTTTCAAAATAAATTTATCTTAATTAGTGCATTCGATATACCAGTGACAATTTTTCTATTTCTTGTAAAGTGAATAAATAACTATACGGATAAAAATTGATGACAGAACTTTTCAATTAATTTAAGAAATATTTCAAGAAATACTGTATTATTAAACGAACGCATAAACAAATTTTTTGTTTATTAGTAATTTTCTAAGATTTACTAGCACTTGACCTTTAGTGTAATATTGTGAACTTTGCATATTGTGTATCTGGAATAATTTTAAGGTACCTGTAGTGATTTAATTAAAATATCGAATAATTTTGTATGTAAATTAAATAGAAATAAATACATGTAGCATATTTTTGATATAACTCGATGATTCAATTTCCCATTACTCCTAAAGATACCTAATTTAATTAGTACACTGCGGATATTTATACAAGTATACGTTTTTAAAAATATTTTCATCTGCAACATAATAATTGTAGAGTTCCTTCAAATCTTATGATTAAAATTGAATAATATCTCTAAGAGATTGTTTTAATCAATCTAAACTCTAAATGATGTCATTTTTGACTTCGTCGTTCGTTTTATCAGTTGATAATATTCGTTTACTTTTCGTTTCTAATGACTCAACACGAATCATGTTATCTTGCATGATGCATCTTCAAAACTTTTTTCTTCTTTGTATTTTTTCTCTCTTTCGAATTTCACAAAAGCAATAGAAATGCAGTAAATAATAATTTTATTTATTGACAATTTGTACACAGATTAAATTAAAGATTAAAATAAATATATAAATATTTAGAATAGTTAAAAATATAATAGTGCGGTCGTGTTTTATATTGTTAAAAATAATTAATTTTGCTTTAATTAGATCACGAACTAGGTTCATAGAATAATTCATCTTGTACCTAAGAAACTAATTTCAACAGGATGAAGTATCACATACAAAGTACATTAACTAATTGACGATTAATAATATACATACTTCCTAACAATATAAATAAAGAGATATGTAGATATAAATTAGAAAGAAAATTGTATTCACTTAAAGCCAATTGTACACAACCCTATTTAAAAATGTCCACCACATCAACACTTCACTACCATACCTCAAATTTATCAATTACCAATTTCCAGATTGCAACCGATAAATGCATAATGCATTAGTTGCAATATGCGAATTACACTTCCAAGAGTATTTAATTAAATAAAAATACTCTGAATCAACGGCTCTCAATTAATATCTGTCGTCTTCTGGTGCACGGATGAAAGTATTCAAAATGTCTGCGAAGTGCACTGATGCTATACGATCTCGTTTTGCAATAAGAACATTGCAATTGTTGTTTAGCATGGCAAACTTGGTGTCTACGACTCGCTGTTCGACTATAAAATTGTTTGAAACAGTACATGCAATTGTACATTTTCGGTACAGCGAAAACATGATTCTTTCCGTTGGTATCATTATTCAAGCGACTTTCATTTTCTTTGGTTTCTTCTTTTTGATGATCGATGTCTGCCAGTCGAAGATCTTCGAAGAAATTGAAATACGAGAGATCGAGAGCACAGTTCTCGAAGTGAGACAACATCGAGCTGTCATCGAATAATGCGAGGAGCTGAAATGTTTCAATTATCAAAAATTTTCAGAAATTTTCATTTAATAATTGAAGATTATTCGTGGCACGATTCAATGTCTTTTATTGCGGGAACTTTCTGTGAATATTATTATAGGTAAGAAATTTTTGAAAGGCCACAATGTTTATTATTTAGTAAAATTATTTCATTTATTTTACTAATTCAGAAATTTTATTATTTTAATTATTTCAAGGTTTACATTCTAAGTAAGAAAATTATTTACAGAAAGAATTATGTTAAATTTTAATTCTAATATATAATAGAGTTTTTTATTAATTTTAGTTGATGTAATACCTTTCTTTTTTTAAATATATCGAATTATTATTTACTTTCTTCTTAAATATATCTGCTACATAATTTAATGGAAAAAAGACCAATATTAAAATCTTTCTTCAGAAAGATAATCCAAATTGTCAGAAGATTCCCACAATAAAAACACTGTTTCTAAAAATATTACCACGTACCTCGTAATTCGCTTGACGTAATTCCTCGTTTTTTAAATCTCCCATGATTGCAGAACCAGTATATTACAAAAAATTTACTAAAGATTTGGAACAACGTTAACTACGAAAGTGCCTGCACTATGCTGTTCACTGAAGAATCGGTAAATGACAAATTTTGACAAAGGACTCATTTGCTGTTTACTTCAGCTACCCCTGTTTATGACAGTAGAGGGGGTATCTCATTATACCTGACAAACTTCAAGGAAAATAACTTCAGGATTGGCTAGGTCACTTTTGGAGGGGCAAACTAAGGCCCATTGGATATTGCTGGGCATTACCAATCAGTGTAGAAATCGTTTAGGTGAAGTATAGTTTCAGAAGTACTACTGGTTTTCTTAGTTCAAATAAGATGGTATGTAATTTGATATCAGAGATTCTATTCCAAATGAAATATAGAGCAATGCACATAAAATTAATTTGTTGAGAGAATATAGATCTTTAAAATTTAAAATTTCAATCTATTTTCAGAAAAAAATGTTATACCTATTAATTTTTATTCATCGAAGAATTGAATCTACTTTCATGAAATAATTCTTTCAACTTTCTTGTTTTCCTATTAATCTCAATCGTTCAGAAACATTGAATCGAGATCGGTTCAAGATCAAGCATGCTGTTTGGAGCAGAAATCGGTCGTGGTAGCACTTAGCAAGTGGGTGGTGCCCGAGTAATCTTGTTCTCATACATAAAACATACAGAGAGAGGCATTATGTTCGTTCTCCAGTCTGCCTTCTTCTGACTTATCGTCGAATGCAATTCGCGAGTGGTATTTTACAAGATCGTTGATGAATTCGACGAATTGTAATCAAGTTCTTGGTAAAATATCTTTTTAACCGATTCTTGACCGACTATTCTCCAAAGTAAATTGAAAGAAAAAATATAAATGAATACCAGTAATTAAGGATAAGTAAATTTGAGAATATTTTTATTTAAATAAGAAATACTTCATGAAGTAATCTGACTATCTGCAATAAAATGTTATCTTCTTGATCAAATAATTGTGTTATGAAAAATTTAATTTACTAATGGTATCTCGATAAATTCAAGAGAATTAAAACAATTAATAATCACACTATCATATATTGAATTTTATAAACGGATGCGAGGATAAAATAAAAAAAGGAAGAAAATCGAATGGCGACGATGGTCTGTTCGCGCCATCATCTACATATTATACCCATATATTTGACGATGTCTTAAATCGCGGCACGCATCCTATTACAGTGTTGACATATTTGCACCAGAAGATGTTCCCCATGGAAAAGGAAAAATGTGAAAAAACGCGTGACAACGATGCCTGTGATTAACGAGATCATTTTTTAAAAATTGATGCAGTATTATTCAATTTTTTAAATCTGTGTACAAAATATACAAATTTGAAAAAAACATTATTCTTGGTTTTTAATAAGATTATACCTAATTTTGATATAATTCTTCGCCTAATTATTAATCATAATTATATCCAACATTTTATAAATATCTACATTATTTTTCTGTTAATAGTTTTAAAGAAAAAATTGATCTTCTTCCTTACTATCAATAATAAATAAGCTTCAAATACTTTCTTTTCTTCCCTCAGGAAACCTGTTAACCCATCGATTCTGTGTATCATGACTTCCGTTTCGAACAACTTTTCCAGAAACGTGTCTGCACCATTGTATAATGGCTACAAAACGCATACATTAACCGATACAAGCCAGTTTTAAATATTCCGTGTGGAGAGCGCTTAAGTCGATTGCGGTACAGGTAACCGATCCCTACCGTACGAATATAATTTGCATATCAGATTATCGATCGGAGTAAATCATTGCAGGTCGGCAGGCCGGTAGATCTGCCGGAAGGTAAGCCGATATCTCCAGATAATATTGATTCCTGATTGTTCTCTCTTTAATTACGTCATTCGTTTCCCGTCACCCTCTATCAAAGTATCTAATTAAATGAAAAATCTTGATCGATCATCGATACAATTATCTTTTTTTATTCTTTGTGCTGTAAGGTGAGGTCTTCAACGACCTAGCATCCACCATCTGATTGTGAGTATTAATATGCAACCTCTGTTTGTACAATTTCTCCAACTCCATAGGTAGAAATATTATTTTCAATCGTCTCTTGATTCTCAGCCTTGCTTTTTAAAAGGAACGATATGAGAAAGTATGCCATCTAAAGTGACATTTCAAATTTAGTTTTCACCTATTTCAATTTCACGCGTCAAACCGCCTCATTTTATATCCAATGAAAAGGTCAACATGATGTTGCAACAATGATTTCAACACTATAGAACTTTGTTTCTTCAAGACTTATACAGCTAGCGCCATATGGAAGAAATTGTATTTCAAAAAACTTTATTAATTGCATCAATACTTTGTTGTTAATTATTGCTGAAGGACAGTTATAAATGAAACATACGCGAATAGGTGGTTTTCATCAAATCAGTAATTATTAATACGAGGCAGTAATTGTATATCACTTAATACCAGTATACCGTTTCACTTACAAATGGATCGTTCATCGATGCATCTTATCCAACTGCATCTCAGTGATTCTCAAATCATTGGTTTCGATTCCGCTTTGCAGAATTTATCACTTCACTTTACTGCGATCTTGTAATTAACTCATCAAGGGATTTTTTACATAAAATATCACTTATTATTTACGAAGCTACATGTTAAATAACAAATGTTTGCAGTGCAAATTGTTACAGATACAAAGTAATACTTTACAAAAACCCATTACATACGCAATAAAAAAAAATGTATCATATTGCTATAAATATTTCAATTCACTCAAATTAGAAAATTGCAGTATTTAAGCTACAGAAGAAATAGCAATAAATCCTTGAATTCCTTTTTTAAAATTGAGGTATTAAAAAATAAAATTTAATAATGTAAATCGACAGAAAAAACTTGTGAATGAAATGTTCTATTTGCATAACGAAGAGTCGACTGAAAACAATTTATAATTTTTAAAAATTATTTTTCATACTGAAAGAGAATTCTACAAGGAACAATTGTCCTTATTTTTCTGCTTGCCCCGTAAGCTATTACCAGCAAAATATTTTTCATTTGCCAAACTTTTCGAGCAATGGCAAACAGAGGCAAACACTGTCATCGTAAATCTCTTATCCGACAGTTTTACAGGGTGTTTATGCTGCTTGCTGACAAAACCTTCCAAACTTTCTGCAACAGCAAGGAGAAAGAAAGGCCAACGAGCAACGTGACTCATTTCGGTTTCCATAGAATGGCCTGAATTTATCTGGCCAGCTAAGTTTTATGGCGTCTCTGTGCCTTCGTGGGTATAAAAGTAACACGCAGTTTCGTACAGTTTTAGTAACAATGAAAGGCAGGTTGTAACAGGCAAACTCATGGGCCATGGTAGTCGAAAATTTTGACTTTAAACGTTATTTCAAATTGAGAATCTTTCTTTCATTCGTTTTGGAAACTATCATTCTCATATTAATTATCTGTGATAATGATAAATGATAAATGAAAATTAAAAATGTTTGAACTAATTTTAACACATATGAAGTTGGATAAATGAATTATTAACGATGATTATATTAAAGGATTTATGAACTGATTTCTGGTCGGTACTAAAAATCATCAGATTCATTAATAATTGTGAAGTTTGAATAAATACCATAAAATCTCAAATATGAATGATTTACAAGATAATTCATGGGGTAATTCGTAATTATTTAATATTTCGTAACAAAGTTGAAATTTTTAATGAAGCACAAACAAAAGTGCGAGTGTATTTACGATTATTATAATAAGTATTAACGAGTTCAAAATAAAGTTGAAATCATTGGAAATTTTCCAGTGATCAAACTGTACCTAAAAATTTGCAAGAACCCTGCAGGTAGAACACGTATACATGAAAGCCTTTAATAGGTAGTCACCTTCCTGTTTTGACCTATCCTTCTTGGCACGACGCCAGCGTGCTCCCTCGATTACCTGACCCTTTATTACTTTCCACGACGACACCTAGTCAATTGTTATTCGCACGACACGGTTTACTTGCATTCCAGGTAATAATTATCGGATTATAGGGTGCGTTGTTGCCAGAAGCAAGTGGTCTAGAGGTGTCTCTCGAACAATGATAGGCTAGCAAATACTTCGAATACAAAGTACAAAAAAATTTTTTCCAATCAAAAGAAATAACATACGCAAGATACTTTCCGAGATTCCTACATTTTAAAAATCGAAAATTTTTAGAAATTCGCACATCACATTGTCCGCGACGAGAAATATATTGTAGGAAACATTTGTTTCGATAGAGAAAAAAAAACATCAAAATCCAAATTCCATGCCACTGTGCGCCACCCTCGAACGGCGCCCGCCACCTTCGCGTGGGTGGATTTTCTAGTAACGCGTGTTACGTTACCACCCCGTAAATTAAGTATCCGTCGCGACGCGTGGGCGTCGTCCAATCGCATTATTACATTCTACCACGGTAAATCAAGCGAAACGGTGCACCGTAACATTTCAGCTTCGACCCTTTGCTCGTCGATCGAGCTTTTGGTCAATCGAGGCCTTGTTTTCATACCACTGCACACGGTTAGATCGAAGGTATTACTTTCCGATAGATATCTGATCAGAATCTAACGAGCTGCGATTGAATTACGAGGGTTGCTTAAACTGTCTGCAGAGACACACATATTTCCCTTACGGAAATTTATTAGTTGTAGAAATGAATTCTTTTTGATATTTCATAGCCAAGATCAATGTTCCGGCAGTTCCTAATGTCATAGTTAATTATCTGTTTAACAAGGAAACGTATTGTGATATCGAATCTTGATTAAAATTTTTTTTATGCAAACAGCTGATAAATGTCATTTTGTATCTGTTCGAATTTTTACATTTATAGTCATAAATAATTCATATTTTTTGAATTCCTGAGGAGTTCCAGTTTCTCGGATTGGTCTTTTTGAAAAGCTTCCTACAGTGGGGATAATCCAGGTAATAGAACAATAAAACTGTTGGGAAAACCTGAATATTTTATGGGGTATTTATTTATTGTAAAAGACAAGTGAACAGTGTCTCTTATTGTTTACTTCAAAATTAATCTTTACAATT